ATGTCTGAGTCTGAGGATGTCGATATGACAGGTGCCGCTCAGGGAGGACCGCCGATAGGCGTAACCCCCGGTGGGCAGCATCTGACGCAGGTCAGCGTGCGGAAGTCAGACCGCTGCCCCGAAAGCACCTCCTAAGGCGTTAGTCACGAAGGAGATGCTGGCATCGGTGAGACCAAAGTCTCCGCCGAACCCACCTCGGAGTCCGAGGGTTTCTTCACCTCAGGTCACTGCGACCGAAGTTGGGAATCGATGGTCATCGAATCTTCGGACGCCTAGAGCGACGATTGAGGAGGAGAACACGGGTGGCTCCACCGAGGTCGATGATCTCCTACCCGATAGGGAAGGGATCAATCTCCCTACGGATACCTTCAATGATGGTGAGGGTCCGACCGAGGCCGAACTACTAGAGTTCACCGGGGACGTTGAGATGGAGCTGGAGAAGGAGGCCGAGGTTCCCGCTGTAGGTGAGGGAGAGACTCCCGGTAGGGAGGCTGAGATACCTCAGGCCACTGCAGCCACGACTGAACCATCGGTGGAATCGTCTGCAGCAAGGCGAGCGGCGTCGCCCGTTAGGGAGGAACGCAGGGCTCGGGATCCTGTTGGTACCCAGAAGAAGGATCCGGTTGGCCCGGGTGTGCCAATCTCCTATGCTCCCAAGTACACGGACGATGACGGGGACTTGCGGGATACTGCAGCGACCCCGAAGGCGGCTTCGACCCAGGAGTCTCGAGGGGGCATACACAATTTTGCGAACACGCCGTACCCGGAGCATCCGGGGGAAGCGCCCGAGCTGAAGCCAGCGGAGGTTCGGCATCACCGTGAGCATAGTTCCTATCTGTCTTCAAGGGGCTCACGGACCTCGGCGAGACCGGCGGAGAGCAGGTCAAATAGGAGGTTCATCGTTCAGCATACCCTGGCCAGGGAGGCTGGTGAGCCCTTCATCTATGCCGTGATCCGGAACAAGGCAATCGCTCGAGAGCGGGTTACCGCAGAGGAGTGGAGGAAGGCGAACGAGACTAGCCACATTGTGTTCCCTAATCGCGATAGCGAGTGGAATGCCGTGTTGGATCGGGCTGTGCACAATGACTGCATGTACGGAGCGTTGGATGCTTCCCGAGCAGCTGGGAGGATCGATCAGGAGTACATCAATCCTCGAGATCGGAAGTCTACGCCATGGGCTGATCAACAATGGAACATGAAGAAGGTGGCGACTGAGGCTGCCCACATCCCGTTAGGGATGAGGCAGGACATTCAGGCGAAGTACCATCATGGACGAGCACCCCCGGGAGACTGGGCAGATATGCCCGATCGGGATGATTATATGGTTCGTGGTGTCGTTAGTGACCCGAACCGCAGGGCGTATGACTGTCTCCGAGCACCAGGAGTGAGGGCAACCTTGCTGAACGCGCAGACAGGTCAATGCATTCCTTTGGATGATCCGACATGGGTGCCGGAGATTGCATCATCACACCTGCTGGTAGGGACAATCACTACGATCGCATCGCACGTGGACTGCGCCCTTGGGCGCGCGTGGCGTATGCCCATGTTCCACCCTCAGCTGATGGCGGCGACGGCGATGCTGGAGAAGTTGCAGAAGTACTTCAACGCGCTGAACGAAGCGGTGCTAGGCAAGCGGTTGGGAACTGCGCCTTTCAGCGTGATAGCCGGTCACCTCGCTCCGGAGTTGCGGACTATCCCGACGAGGGAGCAGATGCCCGACACGCTGGCGCAATCAGCGGCTGAGATTATGCTGTCTCATGTGTCGGCATTGTCCCATTCAGGGTCTACTTCCGATAGGAAGGAGATCCTCGGTAGGGATGGGCTCCCGTTCGGGAAATCATGGTTCGAAGATGACCCTGAAGGGGCCACTTGGCCTGGACACCATATGGCTGGGGGTGTCGCTGTCCCGCTGAAGCCGAAGACGAAAATCGTGTGGGGAAAGCGACCGCATGTGGATGACGAGGGTGATGTGGACCCTGGGGCGAGCTCTTCGGGGCAACCGAGGACCGAGCCGGCCCCCGATAGGGGCGCCGGGTCGGGAAAGGACGATGATGTGACGCTTCCTGACATTGGGAAACTTTCCGTGACGGAGAAGAAGAAAGACGACATGGATGTGGATCAGGAAGGCTCCAAGAAGGATTCCGCCGGGACGGAGAAGCCCACGCCTCGGGATACTGAGGCTGGGAGGACAGACCCGAGCGAGATCACCAACTTCAAAGGGGCTACCTTCGAGGAGTACCGAAAGACTGCTCCAGACTATGTGTACAGCGGGGAGGGAGATGATCGAAGGATCCTTCCCAAGAACACTCTGATTGACATGGTGAAATCGTTGCCAGCTGAGGCCGCGCTCCTGATTCCTAGAGCTGTGGCCACGCAAAAGGAGGCTGAGGAAGCTGAGAAGGCCGCGATGGAGGCCATCCGCGGGGATTTTAGGCTCCTTGACGTGGGTCAGGAAGACAGGGAGAAGGCCGACCCTCACACCGTAACGGATGAAGACTTGGCTGTGTCGATAGACGCGTTGACTAGGAGGTTGAGCGACGTGCCTGAATGGTCGGGCAATCTGATTGATCCTGCAAAGTCTGCTGAGCTGGTCGCGGCGAGATGGGGCGGAAAGGCGAGTTATGACAAGCCTGAGGCTCCTCTGACTGAGGCTGGGATGAAGAGTGCGTCATTGGAGGATCGAGCTTATGCCCTGTCGCAGCTGAATGAGATGGTGAACTTTCACAAGAAGCACCTATGCTCTGGGCGAGGAGCGCCAATGGTAAGTGCAGCTGCCCCCAGTGGACCCTTTGCTCCTGATCAGGTGGATGAAAGCAGAAGGTTCCGAACGAGTGAGGCGGCAAGCAAGATGACCTACAATCTTGTGGTCCTGGACGGAAAGAGGGATTATCTTGCCGATAGGCGGGAAGTCAATCCAGAACTAAGGGGTACTGGGGTTATCCCTGACGAGGCCGCTACATGCCAGATTGTGATTCCCTCGAAGACAAGGTTGGGCGAGTACGTCCCGAACTACGAGGAAACCGCGGGCACCGTTGCAGGGCGGGAGGCGGCTAAGGAGTTGATGAGACTGCTCCATCAACTCGAAGAGAGTCTCGGAGTTATTCGAGGAACGTGTGCTGAGGGAAACTGGACGTGAGGCTGGAAACTGGGTGAATAGTGACCAGGCCATCTGGTTCCTGAGAGAGATCACGGGCATGGAGAACGCCGAGATGTCGTGGAAGTTCTTCATTCCGACGATCAAAGCTTTCCCGATAGGGCAAGTTGAGGCGATGCTCATGGTCATGTACGATGGGAATGGTGTCCTCCTCAAAGAGAGCACTAGGTTAGTGGCCGTTAGGTACACGCGGATCGGACGTGACATGAGCTACAGTGCCGTTAGGCAAAGGTACGACGCGGTAGCGCCTCTGACGGCCTCCAAGGCAATGGCGAGGAAACCTGAAGGAGGTGAGATCAGGTTGCAGCCGGCTGAGCGAGCTGCGGCGAGCCCGGTGGAGGGTCACTTCCTGGTGATGCCTGAGAGTTCGGTGGTGGACGCCCTCCTGTCGGTTTCCACCAATAGAGTGCTGAACAAGCAGGTCAGGGATTTCATCAGAAATGGTGAAGAAGCTTCGGCACTGGAAGCTCTCAATCAGATCGTCACGAACTCTCGTTCTGGGAGGGGACGCAGAGACTCGGACGTCTCCCGCACTCCGTCTCGGAGGTCCGTTAGGACTGTGGACACCAGGGATTCCAGGGAGTCGAGAAGACGCAGATACCGTCCGCGGCGCGAGGATGATCGTGACCGGAGGAGGGACGATGCCCGTGATCGTCGTGATGATGATTCACTCGATCGAGAGCGAGAACGAAGGCGAGATGATCGCAGGAGATCCGAGAGGGATCGTGATAGGGACCGTGCGCGGGGCGGACGTGACCGGAGGAGACGTGACGATAGCCGATAGGCTGAGTCACGAGGATTGCGGCCGATAGGCTTGCGTCCATTCTCCAATGGTCAGCGCGGTGCGGAGGTGGTGATGTTCCTCCCGAACCGCTGAGGCGCGGAGATCAAGTCCCTCCCGTACCGCTTCCCGTACCGCTGCTCGGCTGCTGGTCGTGTTCATCATGAAGTAGTGTGAGTGAGAGGGAAAGCAAACTAATAGGGGGGATACTCCCGGGCTTGCGGAATTCAAGCATTTTTCAGGTACGCATGGTCAGGAGTTCCTCTCGCCGATAGGCGAGGGTACTTATGGACATACGTTATCCTTTGTTTCATGGCTTCTGATAAGAATTGAACTTCTTGCATTGTTGATGCAAACAGTTGTGGCCTAGTGCCGTCATGTGGACTCTCCCACAAGGTATGTTGGACAGCGTTACCCTGATTAATTCGGGGTGGTGGCGGGAATTTAATGCCCGGGATGTGGCGCAACTGCCTTTGCGGGTTTGCTTCACCGCTGACGGCGGTAGTGTCCAGCTGTTTGCGGACACATGCAAGCAGTTAAATCCTATCAGTAAATGGCACGCTCCGCCCGTCATATGACGGACTCCTCGTGAGGGGGGTGTGATTAGCCATGTCTTAAACCATCACCAGGGATGTCGCGATAGTGACTGACCGGTGGTGTTTGGCTCAAGAATGCGGGTCCGTCGCGCCTCGGATGAGCGTCGCCGGGTCCCCACGTCGATCACCTTCGTGTCGGTGGAGAAAGAGACATCGGCCCGGGGCAGATTGGTGGGGTCCGCCCGTGCGGTTCATCGTCGATCAAGGTTGCGGGTACTTGTTTACTTGTTTGGTTTTTCCCTTTTGGTTGTTGTTCTCTGGTGTGTGGGAAACCCTGATCTTTGGGACCGGGGATTGGTTTGCTTTTGGGGAACCTTTCTTTTGTGGCTTGTTTACCCCAACTTACCCATTGCCTGGGCACAGGCTCGTGCCCGAATCACATTTTGTTTTGGTTCCGTTCATTTTCAGTAGGGGGCTGCAAAAAACAGATGCGGCTTTTTGCAAGCCCATACCGTTTGGGTTGTTGAAGGCGCGGCGGTGAGTGCCTGTGAGAAGGGCGAGCAATGGGAACGCGCCGTCTCCATACTGCAGGTGCTTCTGGGCTGGGCTGCTGAACTCGGTGAGGTGGCGTTCAATGCGGCGATCTGCTCCTGTGAGACGACCGGGCGCTGGCAGGTGGCGCTTGCTTTGCTGAGTTCGGTCAGCTCACAGCTTGAAGCCAGAGTCAATAGCTACAGCGTGGCCCTCAGCGCTTGCAAAGACTTTCGATGGCGAAGCGCCCTGTCACTCTACGCCTCGATGTCGACAAAGCGGCTGGAGCCGAGCTTGATCGCCTGCAACGCCGCGCTCAGCTCCTGCGCGCGAGGCAGGCAGCCGCAGCTGGCTTTGGGGCTGTATCGCAGCAGGCCGTCAGGCACCTCGGAGGTCACGTTCAACGCCTTGGCCGAATGCGCTGAATGCGACACACAGATCTTGCCCTGGATCCTGCAAGAGCTTCATGACCACCGATTTCAGATGACCGTGGTCACCTACAACCTGGTTCTTCGCTCATGTCAGACGCCAGGCAGCATGTGTCGATTATGCTTTCCGCCTTCCTGGGCCTTCCCCCATCAAGATCCGGCACAGTGAGGGTTCGCGCGTGGCTAACTTCGTGATGTTGTTTTTGGTTGATGATTTCTTGTTTTCGCATAGCATGCCCTGATGCATGTGAAATGCGCACTCGGAAAGCAAGCAGAATACCGCTGCAACACCAAGGATTCATGACGATTGGCATCAGATTGCAAGCTTGTCATCTGATCTTCGTGCAGATGCACAAATCTTGCTTCGCAGATGCACAAAATTGCTGATAGCAAAAGTGGCAGGTGCAGCAGCGGTGCCAAAAGTCAAAGCCTTCCCTTTGCCATTGCTCAGGTATCCTGTGAAAGGCCCTCACGTACTCCACCAATTGCAGGCACATCGAACATGATGCACGGTTCCCCCCCCCCCCCCACCTGGCGATTTGGCCTCAACATGATGCTTTGTTGTCTGCACATATTGTTTTCTCACAGCGCACGAATCCCGGAATTTTTTGTCCACATTGATGCAACTTCTTACCGAGTGATGTATACAAGATGATGCAACCGTTACGGGACAACGTTCGCAGGATGATGCAACTGAATCTCTGCTTGCAGGTTTAATAGGCCTCTATAGGCATCATTTTGCCATGTGTCTGGGCCAGTTGCATGCTGCAGGGGTGGTGTTGTGGGCAAGTATGCTTGTGTCGACTTCGGACGTTGAATGTGGCCAGCCTTTTTGCGCGTCGTTTTTGAGATTCGCTGTTCCTGCTTGGGGTGTGGGGTGTTCATGGCGGCTCAGGGAAAGGGTCAGTTCATGGGCCAGGACAATGAACAGGCAAGCAACGCATCTCGATTTGGGTGTCTTTGGTTGAGTTGGAGCCCCTTGTCAGTGTTGAATGGAAACCAACAGCAAAACCGAGCCCATTTTGGGGATTTCCCCCAAAACAGACACCAATTCCTAAAAATCGTGCAAGCCTTATAGATGCAATTGCCAACGTGATCTTGTGCGAGTAGGCCAGTGACATGCCGCGCCTCGTTTGCCTCGTGTTAGCATTCCTTGGCGCATGGTGCGCTGACGTAGTGCCAAGGCCGCTGCGCTGTGACAAGGACAGTCACGAAGGTCTCAGAAGACTATGGAGCTCCATTCGGTCCCGAAATCCCGCCGACCTTTCTTTGAGCCGGCAAGTCTTCTCGCGCTGGTCAGACGTTGCTGCTGATCAGTTGCGGCAGGTGGTGATCTGGATTTTTGCACTGCCAGGCAAGACGGTTGCAGAGGTGGAGATGGATTTAGCCGAGCAGTACTTCGACATACTGCGGCAGGTGGGTCTCAGCGACACGTGCCGAGCGAGTGTGGAAAGTCTAATCTTACAAGAGAGTGCGGCAAGTGACATCAAAGATGCACCGCATGGCTTTTGCGTGATCCCATACATAGCGGCAGTGCTGCGCTTGATTCAGACGGAACACAGCAAGTTCTACCTGGATCATCTCTGCTCCTTGCTCCGAACGGAGGGCGGCTTGCACTGGGCTTTGATGGTTCTCTCCTTCCCCTACGACGTGACCAACGTGGTGGAGCAGCTCCTCCGCACCCTCGAGGCCAACCAGGCGCGAGCCTGTGCCATCCGCAGCCCTTCGGCCTTCTTTGGGCCGTCCGCGGCGTCCGCGCCGTCTGGCGCGCCGTCTGGCGCGCCGAAGGCTCGGCCCGCGCCTGTGGCGCCTTTCCGCACGGCGCTTCTGTCAAGTCACATCTGGGCTTGGGACAGTCTGATGGCCAGCCGCGAGGCAGCAATCGTGGAAGGGCTCGCTTGGGAGGGCTTGATTTTGGGCTACACGCTCGCTGACAGATTCGAAGTTGCGAAAGAGAACTGTTTCAAGATTCAAGAGTTTATGGGCATGGGAAGCCGGCCATTGTGCCAGGGTGGCCACTGGATCACGGTCATGATGGATCTTTGCACAGACGAGGGCATCGGAACAGAAAACGGGTGCTCGATACATGCTGTTAAAAGGCACTTGCGTGCCGCACGTGAAGAAGTGCCTTTCTTTCGGGAAGCAGATCTTTTGATTTGTAGCTATCCATATGCATTGTGTCCTATTGTGGGCACGTACGAGGGCTTTGAAGGCACTGCAGTGATGGTGGCTGTGAAGGGGGCCGGAAGTCTCACGGAGTACGCAGACGCTTCTCTGGTTCCGTGGCTGCTCAGTATTTACAGACGTTGGCTAAGCGAAGATAGCGGCGGCCTGCGGCAGGTCACATTTGCGGACCGCATGGACCCTGTGCTGGTCGAAGCCGCGTTTGGAGAGTCAGCTGAGTGGGTGGACTTTGGGGCGCGCTACGCCTTGGAGCTGGCTGGGGGGATCAGATGCGACCTCCGCGACCTCCGCCCAACGCGTTCCGGGAGTTTGCTGATTTGGCGGTTGCAGGCGGCCTTCCCAGCGCAGGAGGCATTGGCGTCCCAGCTGCTGCTGACAACGACGCTGCGTGAGATGACAGTCTGGTCCATTGACGTCATGGAAGAGACCTGGCAGTTTCGCTACGCAGAGCTGCATAAGTATTCGGCAGTTCTTCAGATTCCTTGGGATTTTGCGCTGGTGTCATTTCTGGAGCTTTTGGTTTTGGGCATACCGGTGCTTCTTCCAGGGAGACGTTTCATGCAGAACTTCATCACCACAGTCTACTGGTCCAGACAAAACATCAGCGCGTGGAAAGAGACTTGGAAGCAACGCTTTATTCAGCTCATTCCCGAACCTTGGGAGGGATTTGGGTTTGGCAAGTCCAACAAGACCATGGGGATCGATGTGCGCAGCAAGACCAGCATGTTGGATCAAGTGTCTTTCTGGTGGAAATATACCGAGTTTGAGAGACACCGCTGGGTGAAGCACTTCAGCAGCGTCACAGAGCTTGCGACGATTCTCCAAACCATTGACACGGGCGTACTTTGCTCAAAGCTAGCAAAGGAAACTAAAGCCAAGCTGGCGCGGAGCTTGGCTGTTCATCGGAGGATTATCCATATGGTGCGAAAAAGAAGGGTAAGTCCGAAAGAAGGGCTGGTCCTGCCACTGCTTTCATCCGGGATTTCGCCTGAGCTCGTGGGAGTTGTGTAGGCTGCGTTCAACCCTCCTTGGGCAAAGTGATGAAAGACGATTTTGTCTCTTGACCGCGAAGCCCCTCGCGTCTTGCATGTTTTGAGGGCTTTGTGTTGCGGGTGTTTTGAGTATGTTTTGACCGCGTTCCAAAAGCTGTTTGTTGACGAGGAAGCAAGGAAGGATGTGAGGAAGGAAGCAAGGAAGCAAGCAAGGAAGGAAGCAAGGAAGGAAGGAAGCACGAAAGCAAATGGTAAGTTGACCCCGAACGATCAAGCCATGCTGAATGGACTGGCTGGTGCCGTCCAAAGTGTTGGTGCCATCTCAGTGTTGGCTTTGGACAGTGGAGAAGCTTCCTGGGAGCATGTTGGGCATGTCATGTCAACAAGACAGCACCTGCTCGACTCATTTTGCCGAAGCTGGGCTTCAGGGATTTCTGGGCTCGCTTGGGACGCCTCATGTTTTACCATGTGCTGCTGGCCGCTTTGCTGCGGCGAGCAGTTGCGCCTATGTACGTAGGACATGTTGACATTCAACATTTTGAAGCAGGGCAGTTTGCCGATCAAGCTGGGTCTGTCGGCGTTGCGAGTCATTGCTCCTGTCAATGGGCGGACAACTTGAATTTCCGGCTGCTGCAGACGGCGCAGGGAGTTTCCGCTTCTGACGCGATGCCCACGTGTGGAAGTGCTGTCGGCTTCGGATGGCGGCTGGTGCGCAGATCAGCCGCAAATATCTTTCCTGAAAGGGATGACTTATCTGGACGAAGCGAACATGGCCATGCCCACGGAGACCCTCTGGGGACCCCCTTCAGCAAGCGCTTCCTCGAGGCCTCTTTCGATGAGTTCTTGTTTTCTACAGGCGACTGCAAGGAGTGGGTGGTCATGAGGAGGGAGGAGGTCCGGAGATTGGTAAGGCATTGGAAGAGGTCAAATCGGAGCGGGGTGAGTTGGATTTCTTCAGACTCAGAGGACATGTGCGCGGCTTTATACCGAGAGGGCCGTCAGGACCTTTGCGGGCGCAGGGGGCTGGGAAGCCGGCATGGCGGGCTGAACGTCTTTGTCCGGGATGCGCCTTCTCCAGCCTCGTGGGGCATTTGCGGCAGTTTGGGGGTGACAGACCTCAAGAATTCGGAGGCTTATCCAGCAGGCCTTGTGATTCGCTGGGGCCAGTGCAAACAGGCACATCTTCTTTGTCTGTTGCTGAGATTGGCACGCTTCAAGTTTCTGCAAGCAAAGGCCAACGCGTCTCAGCATGTCGAGAATTTGCCGGCGCGGCAGCTGGAGCAGCTAGTGCTTGGGCTCAGCATTTCTGTTCGAGGCTGCCTCTATGGGAGTCTTTGGGCGCCTGTCCTGTGGCGACTTCTCCAAGTGCCTGGCTTGCAGTCCTTGCGTGCCAGAGTTGTGCGCAGGTCCGGGCTGAATGGTACAGCCGCCCTGCAGTCCTTTGCGCAAATGCCATGGGATGAGGTGTTTCAGCGGTGCAGCTCACCGCGGACGTCGCGATGTTGGGAGGAGATGGTGGGCTGGCTTAGCTTTGAGTCCTCATGCCTTCTTTGCTGCAATCCGATCTTTGGCCCCCGCGGTTTTACCGAATGCTTTGATGAGAAGTTCACCTTCGAGTTGTGCTGCTCGGGCCTTCCGCACAAACTCGAGCCTTGGGTTCGAGAGCTCAATGAGTCTACAGCGGAAGCTTTGCTGAGAGCGGTCCCTAGAACCTTGCAAACTGTGCATCAATGGCGTGGTGCAGTCGCAGAGGTCGACTTGGTCGAAGTGGAACGCGAAGTGCAAGCAGGGTGCAAAGGCTTTCAGAACACGAGCAATGAAAGCGCTGACACGCTGCTACGTCTTTCCGCTGAAGAGATCCGCAGTTTTCTGGAAGAGGGGTCCGGACAAGGAGTCTGGCCATCAGTTGACCTTTATATTGCGAACAATGTTTCAAGCTCAAATGACTTTTGGTCTTTAGGCAGTCACAACGACTCCGTGGGCTTGGATGGCCCAGAGCTCTTGTTTCAGGCGGGGATGCTTTGTTCCCAGGGCTGTTGTTCGACTTCGGAGCTGTCCTGCGCGGTGAAGCAGCGCTCCTTCCTGGGCCGCTTCGCCGCGTTGCCCTGTGCCGCTCCCATCCGCAGCTGCGATTTCTACCGGGGCTCGGACCGCGTGGTGCGGGCCCATGCGCTGCTGCCTTCATCGTTGCCGCCGCGAAATGCGGCGTGTCAGATGCGTTTCGTGGGCACCGCGGTGCTTCTGACGCAGCCGGGCTACGAGAACTCTGGCCACGCCCTGTCCGAGGCGCTTTTTCTAGCATCAACTTTTCGCATGGCACGGCTTGGGGCATTTGGGCCGAGACCAAGCTTCTGGCTGATTCCCTCCCTAAGTCGGCTATGGAATTGTCACCACAGAGCAGATCGTGGGAAAGCAGATGCCTCCAAGGGAGGCGCGGGAGAGTGTCTATTGGATCCATTTCTGCCGGGCCCGTCGCAACTCACAGAGGCAGCCAGGCTTGCCAACCCTCTGGCCCACTTTGTGCTGACCACAGCTTTGGGGATGCTGAGGTCGGGCAGCGCTGAGTGGCTGACACCCACAGATATCCGTGCACCCCTGGAGTGCGTCCGCCACTTCGACGCTGTTGTCCAACCCTTGCGTTCCCTGGTGGGAGATGCAAGTTTGCATAACGAGTTTCGGAGGCAAGCTTTGCAACGCTGCGGAGTGCCATTTGCAGCTGACTTCCCCACACGGAAGCGCTTGGTGTTGGTGCGCAGGACGCGTCACATGCGCTCTTGGGGTGACACGTCCGCCTTGTTCCAAGGGCTTCTCCATTGGGCTCAGCGGCACGGCTGGCAGGTGGATGTTGCTACGCTGGGTGAAATGGACCCATGCATGCAGGCCGGCTACGCATTCCAAAGAAGAAATGAAGCCATGTGTGCGATTGTAAAATTTGCCCAGTTGTTCCCCGTGCACCTCTTCAAAGCTGTTGGGCTCGTCAGGCTCACATGCCTGCGCTCGCCAAGAAGAACCGTACCCGGAATGTAGGTCAGTTGCAGTTTGAGCAAGCCATAATCCAGCGCTGAAATCAACCAGCTCCACCCTCGCCCGAGTCCCATTTCTGAGCCTCCAAGCCTACTATATGCCTATCCTACCTGGGCTTCATGCCACGCATCAAAACAACTGGCTAAAGTTACTCTAACTATTTTCGAGCCAAACTAGCCCTGAACCCCAAGCTAGCCTGAGTCTAAAGGCAACCTTCTACCACCCAAACTTAAGTTTATAGATCATTCTGGATACCAACTATCCTAGTTCCACCCCGGCCAACTGATTGATTGATGGGTTTGAGTCCAAATCTTCAGAAATCTTGTGGCTTTTGGGGGGCCCAGCTTTGGAAGGCTCTCGAATCGAAGCCTTGCAGGTTGTGGCTTTGCATGATGCGTCCATCGTCATCACAGTCTACAGCACAGAGCACCACATAGCTTCTGCCTTTATGCCGGAGCAAGCTGCCATGGTGATGCTGAACACCAGGCCCCGACGCAAAGGACCTCGTTCCACGTGGGAGGACGAAAGGGGACCAGGCCTTGAGAGAAATGGTTCAGTTGCGAAGCGATTTGCGGAACTTTGTACGCCAAAGCAGCCAAAACCGACGGAGACGGAGCCAGAAGCAGAGCCAGAACTAGCTTCTTTCATGGACAATTCAGAAACCGCGGCGAATCGAAACCTCCTTTATTTCGCCATGAACAACGTTAGCTGCCACAGGCTGAGCTCATTGAGTCATTTGGCCAGCCGGATGCCTTGCAGCCAAGAGGATACTCTTCTCGCAGGCGCTGTGTCTACAAATTGGGAAAGGCTCGCACAGATACTGGACATTATATTGGTTCACCTGAGGGGCTGGCTCACAAATTCCTCAAATGCAGCGGATATACGAATAAAACACATGATTCAATGAATGCAACTAACTTATGTATACACAAAAGACACAAATAGGAAAACAACATATATAGATATATAAATGCATACAGCTAAATCGATATTTATGTATTTCTACATCTTTTTTAATGCATACGTATTGTTTCTACCCCCCCCTCCAAAACCCAGGTGTTGAACCTGGACAATTGCCAAAATCACTGGAAAAGATGCTACTTTTGAGACACATGTGTATTTTCGCCTCTGCGCAACGCATATTTTTCAAGTTCAAGCAGTAAATGGTGGCAAGTTCAATTACTGTAGTTAGTCAAACAAACAGTCAGCAAGTCAGCTAATTAGTCAGTTAAATAGTTGTAATGAATTAGCTCTAAAGCACGTTTTCTAGTTCATTGGCAAATCAGTTAGTTATCCATTTAGCTGCCTAGTTAGTTGGATAATACTGAAGGTATTCCCCTTATATTCCCCTTTCTTTACTAGTGAAATATTTGGGGAACACTAGGGGGGGTAGTGAAGAAACACTAGGGGTATACCAAGAGAATACGAAAAGAATACTAGGGCAATACTAGGCGTACATGCTCACGGAATACTAGGGCAATATTAAAGGTGAATACTAGGAGAATATGTGGGAATACTCAGGGAATACTCGGGGTATACTCTCAAGCTCAATCTGTTTGACTCTGTCAGGCTTCTTGACTAGGGCAATACTAGGGCACTACTGGGAAAGTACTAGGGCAATACTAAAGGTGAATACTGGAAGAAATCTAGGAGAATACTGAGAGAATGCCAGGGGTATACCAAGAGAATACTTAGGAATACTAGGGCAATACTAAAGGTATTCCCCTAGTAATTTCCATCCCTTTACTAGGGGGGAATACTATGGGGTAGTGAGGAATTACTGGGGGTATACCAAGAGACTACTACATTAACTGAATACTAGGGCATTAATAGGGGAATACTAGGGCAATCATAGGGCAATACTCAGGGAATACTAGGGCAATATTAAAGGTGAACACTGGGAGAATACTAGGGGAATTCTGAGAGAATACTAGGGGTATACCAGGAGAATATTTCAGGAATACTAGGGCAATACTGAAGGTATTCCCCTAAAATTCCCTTCCCTTAGTAGGACATACTTGGGGCATACCAAGAGGATACTAAAGGAATACTAGGGCAATACTAGGGAAATACTCAGGAAGGAGCATACTAGGAGAATGCAAGGGGAATGCTGAGGTTTCCTGGCTAGGGCACTGGGGCAATACTACGGGAATACTCGCGGGAGTAATAAAGGTGTTACTAGGGGAAAACTGAAAAAAACACAAAAAGACAAGCTGAAAACAACTGAACAAACTTGGAAAACTGAAAAAAATGAAAAAGCTGAAAAAGCCAAGGATTGAGGGGGACCCCTGTCCTTGGTTTTTCATTTCTTTTTGCTCCAGTTTTTTCATTGTTTTCAGTTTTTCTCAGGTTCTTTCAGTTTCTTTCAGTTTTTTGAGTTTTTTGTTCAGTTTTTTTCCTCAGTTTTTTTTTCAGTTGTTTTTTCAGTTTTTGTTTTGTCAGTTTTTTCTTCTTTTCTTAACCAGTTTCCAAAGCGCTTCCTTGAAGAGATGCCCTTACGCAATCATAGTGCTTGGTTGCAGCATTGGCTGCCAAATGCGAGGCTTTTGACAGAGGCAGACAGTGGGCCTGAAAAGTGTGTGTTCTTGCAGATGCAGGTTTTGGTGACAAAGCGCTGTGCTTTCTCATAAAACTTGTTGTTTGTGGGGGGGGGGTGCCATGTTATTTTTCCAGTAAAGCTGTCGAAGCTGGTGGGCAGAAATCTTTTGTTCTTTGTTCCGTTCTTTTCTTGACTTTCCCTCCTTCCTTCCTTCCTTCTTTCTTTCTTTCGTTCTTTCTTTCTTTCTTTCTTTCTTTCTTTCTTTCTTTCTTTCTTTCTTTCTTTCGTTCGTTCGTTCGTTCGTTCGTTCGTTCGTTCGTTCTTCTTTTTCTTGCGTTCTTTGTTGATTCTTTCTTTTTTACTTTTTCTTTTAATTTCTTTCTGTCTTTCTTTATTCTTTTTTTTGTTTCTCTCTTTCTTTCCTTTCTATTTGCATATCGTTCTCTCTATCTCTCTATCAACCTACCGCTGCTTCATAATGGGAACAATCGCTTGAGTTCAATTCTCATGCAATATATCAGGGGCTTAGCCCGACCATGATTGATTCGATCCTTGTGCAGTCTCTCGCACTGCTGCCTCTTTGCAGCCTGCTCAGCATGCACCTCACCTGGAAGGGCTGCTCTGCGAAGGCTTGCTGCTGCCCAATTGCCCACAGGAGCATTGCAGCGCTTGGTTGGTGGAAGCGGCTGCAACTTGCAGCTGCATCATTGCAAATTAGAGAGATTAATTTGAATACACAACTTATAATTTGCCTTTCTTAACAAATTTCATTGTTATTTATCGTTCTATTGTAGCTTACCGAACATATTATAACGACACATTTTCCTATCTTGAAAGATATAATTAATGAATTATGGAAAACATCGATTTATTTATTTTTTTAAAAGAATTATAAGCCGATACGATTTATTCTATTTAATATGTTGTTGTTTTTATATGATTTATATATATATATATTATTGTAGTATAGGATGATTAATGCTTGATAATTAATTGTGTTATAGATTTGTTTTTGTAGGAATATATGAAATGAGATTTATTCTCCTGTAAACCGGTACGGCCTCGAGGTCGCATTTCCCGTGCACCGGCAAGCCGTTGCAGCGGTACTCCGGCCGAATCGTAGTGCTTGCGACGAGCGGCTATGCTTGTCCCGGTCTTTTCTCCGCGTCGCAAGCTCCCGCCTCTTCGCGCGGCCCGGAAGGCTCCGAAATTTTATCGAAATTTCGGGGGTTCTTAACCGCTTTGCTTAGAGTTCCCGCGGCATAACCCGGCCACATTTTCCCGAATTTTGGGTGGCTTCCGGCGACGCGGCTCTTAAGCTTCGGGACGTTACCCCCGCAAATTTCTTCAGAATTTGGCGGCTTTCCGAAAAATTACCGGGCCAAATTTCGGGGAAATTTGGGGACCTGTCCGAATCGAAATTTCTCGAGAATTTCGTGCGGGTGTCTCCGTATCTTTGCCTCTCTCTGTGTCTCCCAGTCTGTTTCCGTGTGTCCATATCTATCTATTTCGTAATCTCTGCCTTTCTCTGTCTATTTTGGTGCATCTCTATGTATCCTAGTTTGTTTCTTTTTGGTGTTTGCGCCTCTCTGTCTCTATTTGTCTGTCTGTGTCTCTCTGTCGCTCGGGTTGTCTCGGTTTGTCTCTGTTTGTCTCTATGTGTCCGCGTCTGTCGTTCGTCTCTATTTCCTTGCGTCTTTTTGTGTCTCTCTTTCTATTTCCGCGTGTCCGTGTCTTTATCTTTCTGTCTGTTTGCGCTTGTTTCGGCGGGTCGGTGCACAAAAATGGCACACTTCCGCGTCGCCGCGTGCCGTATCTCCCCCTTTCAAGCTCCGTTCTTTTCCTTTCGTTCTGTCTTGCTTTTTGTTTCTGATTGTTTCTACCGTTATTTTCTCTCTCTCTCTATCTCTCTTTCTCTCTCTCTCTCTCGTTCCCTTTCTCTTTGAGAGAGAGAGAGAGAGAGAGAAAGAGAGAGAGAGAGAGAGAAAGAGGGAGGGAGGAGAGAGAGAAAGAGAGAGAGAAAATCTTTCTCTCTCTCTCTCTCTCTTTCTGTTTTTTTTTTCTCTTTCTCTTTTTTCTTTTTCCTTGGTGCCGCTTTATCGCGCATAGGATGAGGGACAGCTTGTCTAGGTCCTGTTGGGGTATCGGCTGGTCTCTCCCGGGGCCGGAGGCACCTTGGGAAACCATTACCTCTACCTCAGGTATCTCTTGTTGCTATGGATCTCTTTTTCTCTTTTTTCTTTTTATTTCTTGTATTTTTTTTTTTTATTTTTCTTTCTTTTTTTTGTCTTTTTTTTCTTTTTTTTTTAATTTTTTTTTTTGTGTTTTTATCTTTTTTTTTGTTTTCTTTTTCTTTTTTTTATTTATTTATTTTTTTTCTTTGATTTTTTATTGATATTGTCATTGATGGAATTAATGGGTATTTTTTTAATATTTACTCTATAAAACGAAATTATGAAATTTGTTCGTCGCATTTGCGCGCATTTTCCGGGATCGCTTTGCCGAAAAATCCCGGATATTTCGGAAAATTGGCCCGGGCTGAACGAAGCCGTTGTGTTTTATAGACAAAGACGCGGCGTACATTTGTTTGTCCGGAGCAATTTTGGCTGAAATCTTGGCCCATTTTCCGAGAGTTTGGCGATGCGAGAAGCTGTGAGCCGCGGCCGATTGCGACCCGTGTTTGTTTTTTTCCCAATGCTTTGGGCGAAATCGCATTGGCCTTACTTGTGCCTAGGATATTTTCTGGTCGATCCTATTTTCGCTTGCGCTTGCACTAATTGCACGTATGGATGGATCTTTCGAGGCCAACAGCTCGCGGATTCGTTCTCACCTTGCTCAGGCAACCGCTTTTTACTGACTCTTTGGCGTGACCTTATCGCGACTTGCCCGGCCCTCAGTGCGTCTCGCAGCATGCTTTTCACATGCGACGAATATACATTTTTTTGATATATATGAGATGATAAAATATATTGGTGCTTGAATTATATAAAATGTCTTGTTAGCACAGGCTCTATAAAATTTGCTCTGTTCTTAGCACACCCGCCACGGCCTGGACTTTGGCCCCAGAGCTCGGCCCTTTTTGGGCACCCGCCTTAACTA